GTTCTTTCTGCACCTAAATGTCCACAGAGCCTTCAAAACCAAACTCAGATGTCATTTTTGGAAGTCTTCATCACTCTTCCATCCACTGTCACCATGCTGCCTCTGTGCCTCAGACATGCTTCCACTATGCTGCATACTAAAAAACAAAACAAAACAAAAAATTAGACCCTTGGGCCCAAAGACCTAAGAATCTATTGAGGAGACTGACAAAAATTAACAGCAACCATATAAAGCATAGTTGCCATCAAAAACAAATGACCTTTTGAGCTCCTTGGGAACAGGGGCCTCAGTTTATGCTTCTCTGTGAAAGCAAGAGGCCAAGGTGTTAGGGTCAACAAAATCCCTATCCCCACTTGAGCTGGAGCTTTGAAGATGAATCCAGAGACTTAGGAATGAGAAGGGTCCCTATTTCTACATGTCCATTGGAACCCAATCAAACCTGCAGCCCCCAATGCTTTATTCATGTTTTTGCTGGTAAGAGGGAGCAATGAGGGTTTGGGGGCCCCTCCTCCCCACCAGTTGCTCCACCACCACCAGCAAGCAGAAGGAATAGGTTTCCATAGTTCTCACTGTGCACATAAGAATTTTCTCATCTCCATTGCTCTCTAGCCCTAACTAACTTACTGCTACCTCCATTCCCCACTGTGGCTCCAGAGAATTCTGGATTTCCTTCCCTGCACCGTTCCTGATATCAGCCAGCTTTCAAAGTCCACCTGAAGTCCTTTCTCTGGCTACTCCAGCCTATGCTGGTCCCATCCTCCCCGGGAGAAGCTCTTATTAGCACCCCACAGAGCTGTATGAAGTCACTCAAATTGCAACTATTTGCTTACTCCAGTCCCCACTGCCAACCTGTAAGATTCTTAGGGCTTAAGGCCAGGAGCCAGCGAGAACATGGGGACTGGGTTCCAAACATAGCTTTCCTTTCTATTAGGTTTGTGACCTTGCCCAAGGCATGGACAGCTCTGAGAATACTCACTCTGGAGCAATATACACCCAGCAAAGCCAAGGGGAATTCAGTGAAATAACATGAATCTCTAAGAAAATGTACTTGTAATAGTAGTTTACCATCAGACATTTAAAAAATTCTCCCTTTTTTCTTTCTCCTTGCTCTTTTTCCTTCATTGTTCTCCTACATTATGTATTGCATGGAGCTTGACATATTGAGGGTACATATTAAACAACTAATTACTTTTCAGTACAGATTTCTTTTAATCCCCAAAAGGGCAAGAATGAGGTCTGCTTAGCTCTGCTGGTATCCCCTGTGCACAATCTTGTGCCTGGTACAAAGGAAGCCCTTAGCAGTATTTGGGGAATGGATGAACTGTGTGCTTTGGGTGTTCAGAAAAGAATGGAAGTTTGATGAGAGATGAGAGTTGGAAAGTGTCAACCTCTAACCTAACAAAGGAAATTCTTTTGAGGGGTGGAGACCAGTGGTTTCCTTCGGGACAAATTTCCTGAGCTTTTGCTAAGAAAGAGAACAAAGCCATTTATAAGCTAGGACTTGCAGAAGTTGGGTGGAGAGGTAAAGGGAGCATTGATAGAGAGCGGTGGGTTCTTTCAAAGTAGGGATTCCCTCGGAGCGCAGAGTGCTGATAGACAGGCGCACTGAGCAGGTCCTCGATACACATTTTCTTTTCCAGCAGAACTGCATTTTACCTGCTGGCAAAGAGTAACAATTCACTTGTACCACAGGAAGAAAGCTGCTGAAAATCAAAGAAAGCAGCAGGCGCAAGCCCCCGAGCAAGTCCCACTTCCCCAACCCCTAGACAGAAACCCTGGGAAGAAAGTGCTTTAAATTCAGCTCTGCCGTTTTCTGGGAGAAGATGGTTCTGTTGTAAATTATTGAACATTTCATTTAAGCTTCATAAATAAGATACTTGGATGAAAACGTTAACATGTTAGATCCGTTTGGCAACATATAATTTCTGTCTTACTCCCTCGATCTGTCACCCTTCATCTATGTTGGAGAATTTCTACTTCATTATAGGCAATGGGAGGTCTCAATCAGCTGTCTAGGAGAAGTAGTTTATATCCCAGATATAATCTAATTTCTCCAACTTGAGGATGTACCTGGGATTCACCAAAAGTACTTTCAGATAAATATGTGTTTGGAACAAAACTGGAAGCATTGCAATCACCCACTCAAACTAGAGGCAGGCACCCGCCCCAGCTAGTGCAAGCTGCTCACTGAGCCCTGGATATCCCAGTTGCCATCAGAGTCCACATGCTAAGCCTCAGCAAGTCAACAACTGCAGGTGTGTCTAGGGCCAACCTGTAAGTGTCTGGGAGTCTGGGACACTTTCTGCAGCGGATGAGACGATATATATTAAAGAACTCAAAATCCTAGAACAGTTCTCAGTGCTGGGTAATAATTATCTTGGTTATTATTGCTATGGGACAGGAACTGTCCTTTGAACATATCCATGCTGGTAGTCCTCACAATGATCTTTGGAGATAGAAATGGTTATTGTTCCCATTCTCCAGAAACTCAGGCCCAAAGATGTTAAGTGATCAACATCACACATGTGGGAGGCAGCAGGCCCTGAATATAAAAGGTAGTGTGTCAGACTTCAAAGTCTGTCAGAATTCATACTTTATTTCCACTCATGTTAACACTTTAGACAAAGAAAGAACTGAGGTTGGGAAAGGGAAAAAACTGGTTTGGGAAAGAAAAGAGAAGTCTGATCCTGATGCCTACTCAGCACATAGCTCATTCCCTCAAGAAAGCCTGGTCAGTTAGACCCTGGTGCGCCCTGTCATGCTCACGTATGCAGATATTTATTGTGTGGGGCTATACTAAAGTTGAGGGACTCCCTGGATAAACCTGTAGCAGCATTTATCTCCTCAGCTAAACTAAGCCATAAGCTATTTGTTAAGGGAAGGCTTCTCCAGGCATGTCCTGCCAAAATCATTTCTATTACCTCAGGAATCTCAGGGAAGACATAGTTGCCTCAGGGACCAGAGGGGGGGATGGGGGCTGAGCAAGGCCTTGACATCCTGCTCGAAACCCTGAACCCCAAGGCTAGAAGTTTGAGAATCTTCTCAAACTATGTCTTGTTTTTTCTTTAGAAAAAGTTGATATAGTGAGGTAAACAAACCCTTTTTAGAAAGAGGTTGCTTGTAGATGTGGTCCATTTAAGATGAGGTCGTACTGGATTTCCTGGATTTCAGTGGCCCCCAAATCCACTGTGACTGGTGTCCTTATAAGATGAGAAGACACAGACACACAAAGGCAGAGTGTACAGTGACAGGCCAGCCTGTGAGCCACAGCCACGCATTGCTGGCAAGCATCAGAAGCCAGGAAGGGGCAAGGAAGGATTCTCCCTCGGACCTCCAGAGCGAGCACGACCATGCTGACCCTCCGAATTTAGTCCTTTAGATTCCAAAACTGTGGGAGGATGTACTTGTGGGTTTGGTTTGTTTGTTTGTTTGGTTTTTGCTTTTTGTTTTTTGCTTTTTTTTGCGGAACCAGGGATTGAGCTCAGGACCCTGTGCTTGCCAGGGAAGCGCTTATTCCACTGAGCCATCTCCCCGGCCCTACTTGTGTTATTGTAAGCCACCAGTTTGCAGTAACATAACAGTAGCTGCAGGAAACAACACCAATGCGTAAAGGACTTCCCACCCCACCTTCGTCCCAAGGACTAGTGAGTCTCCACAGTCAATTTCAAAAAGCACGTAAATTCAGAATAACATTATCATAGCCCATGTTGCTGGGGAGCCCATATGTGACCTCACAGAAAGCCTACAGGAGTTGTCTGACTGACCCTGGGAAGTCCCCAGAGATGATAATTTGATTTTTGTTTAATTTCTCTGCAACTCTAGGCTTACAGACAAAGGTAACTTTGCACCAGTTGTGGTAGATCGAATCATCCCCAAAGATGTCCACATTCTAATTCCTAGCACGGTGCCACTTTATGTGGCAAGAGAGACTGGAAATGTTACGAAATCAAAGGTCTTGTGATGAGGAATGTCATCCTGGACTATCCAGACAATCCCAAAGTCATCACAATGGTCCCTATTAGGTAAATGCATGAGGAGTGAAAGCCACAATTAGATGAGAAACAGATGCGACAATGCGAAGGCACTGGCTCTGAAGATAGATTAAGCAGCCATCAGCCAAGGAGTGCAGGAAACCTCTAGAAAAGGGCAAAGAAACGGATTCTCCTCGGGGGCCCCAGAGGGAATGTGGCCCTGCTGAACCATCTTAGACTGCAAACATCCTAGATTATAAAATCTTAAAGGGCCATTGCTGTAAGCTGCTAAATTGCAGTGATTTGTCACAGCAGCAATAGGAACCTAGTACACAAGTCAAAACAATTGGTCTGCAAATAAATGTGGAAGAGGGCAGGGAGACACCCCAGAGAATCCCAGACCCTCAGGGAGCCTGTCAGTGATTCTTCATAATGAACCCCTGAGGGATTTCCTCAAAGGCTTGTGCCCTTTAGTTAGACAGTTTTTATGTTTCTTCTACCTTCCTAGAGTCCATCAGAAGTCATTCTAAGATGGGAACCACAGCTCTAGGCCCAAATCACTGAGCTTAGTGGGGGCCATTACATGCTATCTAGAGGGGACCCCAGAGTATACATGCAGCCTCAGTTCCTTTCTATAAAACTGAGGTGTAATCCTCATATTTGACATTCAAGAAATGCCTTAAAGATCCACCCATTCCACTAGAGAGTGTAGCTCTCGACCACATGTTCCTCCAATTCAGCAAGGAACCTCTTCCCAGTTCTAGCCAATCTGAGACTCCAAGCACACAGGTGTCCAACTTCTGAAGGCCACTGACAAAGGCAGCAAAAAAGATGCTGGGCATGGGTGAGGTCATCTTACCAGCTTGCTATGGATTTCTTAAGTAGGAAAGTGGGACTTTCTACTAGGTGAAATTAGAAGAGAACTCGGAGATGGCTGAACATAAAGCCTGAAGATTATTTTCTTCCCTTTCAGCCTTCCCCACCCCAATCCACACAGAGAATAATGTTTGTTTCTGCATCTACTGATAGATCTGGTACCTGGCACTGAGTATGGAGTTGGAATATCTGCCATCATGAACTCACAGCAAAGCGTGCCAGCCACCATGAATGCCAGGACTGGTGAGTAGGAGGATGGCGAGAAAGAGGGCTTAGCCTGAAAGTTCAGGAGCCATAGGGACCTGTTCTGCCAAGACCTCTCAGAAGTCTATGCCCCCCAGCGAATAGGCCCTGGTGCCAATCATCACATAATGACCACATTTACCTATGAATAACCAATTTCTGATGTCAGACATGCAGGATGGAATACCATCGTTGTTCCCATAGATCTGTGCTCAATCCTCCTTGTATGAAGGCCTCTCCAGAGCTGTGCAGGGCAGATGCTGTAGCTACAGCAAGCTGTATTTCTATCTAGACCACATGACAGCAGGCAGGAGGAGGTGCGTGTCCTCAGCCTGCACAATAGCAGCCCTCAAAAAGGCCAATGGAGGAAATAACCTATTAAATCTGCTTGAGACTCTTCTGCTCTGGAGCCAACAGTTACTTTTGTTTCTAAATCCTAGGTAAATTTCAAAATAATTCCAATAGCTCAGCTATCCGCGGTGTGGGCTGAGTTGGGATGAGGTCTTTGGAATGATCCTTGTCCTCAAGGTTCAGTCTTACTAGAGAAGCACACAGACAAGTCTACAAGAAACCTCAGGTCACGTCATCTGTACACCCATGGTTAGGCCAAGTCAAGATGACCCCATGGACAGAGACAGAAGGAAACCAAGGAAAACTTCTGTTGCCGGGAATGTCACATTCCTAGTTGATTGCGGCCCTAGTCTTATTCTGGTTAACTGACTGAGAAAAGCTGGGTGTAAATTAATATAGAGAGTTTGAAAACATGCAGCCAGCTTTGTCCCAGTGGTAGATTATTCCAGTGAAATCAAACTTAATAATAATGTTTGTTGAGCTATTGGTCATCTTCAAAAGGAAATGGCTTAACAAAATGTGACATGAGCATCAACAATGACAAGCTAGAATTCATGGTTAGCAGGCGTGCTGGTATCTTGGAAACACATAGAGTGGTCTAATAAATACTGGTCCCCCTGAGGAACCTGTGTTAATAAGCCACTTATGTTGGTCCACAGAACTTGACAGTCCCCGAGACCTCATGGTGACAGCCTCCTCAGAGACCTCCATCTCCCTTCTTTGGACTAAGGCCAGTGGCCCCATTGATCACTACCGGATTACCTTTACACCATCCTCTGGTATTGCCTCTGAAGTCACCGTGCCCAAGGATAAGACCTCATATACACTGACAGATCTGGAGCCTGGGGCAGAGTACATCATCTCCATTACTGCTGAGAGGGGTCGGCAGCAGAGCTTAGAGTCCACTGTGGATGCCTTCACAGGTACTAGGGGGGGAGAAATCTTAGGCAAGTTCATGAATCAGTAGACCTTCACATGAAAAGGTCATCCAGGGAATCCACTCTTCCAAAGTCCCATTTCCTTTAGAGAAAGGAGAAAATAGAGTGTAGAAAAAGAAGAGAAAAGGAAAACCACTACCTGTCTCAAGTGAGAATGGTAAGAAGTATAGGGAAGAGGAGAATAAGGATGTTACAGGCCTGAAAATGTGTATCTGGTGTCTAAAGGCTGGACATAGTCATTGATTCTGTCCATCTTTCTTTCTACACTAACTCACTAGGCAATCTTAGCATCCATGGGATCAGACTAAATTCTTTCCAGAAGACAGGTTTTAAATCTGAATCTGTGTAATGAATAAGTCACAGAGGTATTTCTGGTTTTATCAGAATTAAGTTTCTTGGTATGCATCTTGCAAAAAGTAGAACAGGCAGTACTAAAGTGTAGGGAGATGGACCCTCTGGGCCAGTGGGTGAAGATGTTACTCTATCTATCAGCAAGGAGAACAGATCCAGTCACTCAAGTGGCTCTTGTAACTCCATGGCTGACACATCACCTGTGTTTCAGAACCATCCACCTTCTGTATTTTTCAGGCTTTCGCCCTATCTCCCATTTGCACTTTTCTCATGTGACATCCTCTAGTGTCAACATTACCTGGAGTGACCCATCTCCCCCAGCAGACAGACTCATTCTGAACTACAGTCCCCAAGATGAAGAGGAAGAAATGATGGAGGTCTCCTTGGATGCCACCAAGAGGCATTTTGTCCTTATGGGTTTACAGCCAGCCACAGAGTATATTATCAACCTGGTGGCTGTCCATGGCACGGTGACTTCTGAGCCCATCATGGGCTCCATCACCACAGGTAAGACCAGAAGACTTGGAAGCAATTGATAGAGGTGAATCTTAGCCTGGGGAAATCCAAGCCCTGGTTTGAGCCCTAGTACTGCATGCTGGGCTGGCCCCAGAACACTGGGTAAGCCATGCCGGCCACCAAAACCAGGTGTGGTGGCACATGCCTATAATCCCAGTGCTAAGGAGGCTGAGACAGGAGGATCACTATGAGTCCAAGCTACATAGTGAGACCCTGTACCACATAAATATAAATAAATAAAAGAATATATATATATATATATATATATATAGTGAATCTCATAATAGCCTTTGACAAATCAGTAAAATATAGAAAGAAAAATATTCAAGCTGTAGGGGACTTCCTTTACGACCAGAGAGGGCCTGTGAGCTACTCTCAAATGCTGCTACTTCTTCCAATGCTGCATAATATACATAAGATGGGAAACTCCAGTTCAGAAGGTAGGACCGATCTAATGTCTTGAAGAGGGTAAGGTTTAAATGCATTGGTCCAGAGATCTACCAGCCTAAGGAAAACCCCTGAAAACAGCTATAGTGTGCAAGAGGACCCCTCTACAGTGAAGAGCCATCTGGATAGAGACATCCATCACTGCCCCACAAGGACTGTAATGCAAATGATGTTTCCTCAAAGTAACATAGAATTGGCATGCAACTATATAGTGACCTTGTACTCAAAATTGGGGTTCATTTGTACATTGTTTGGAAAACATAATATACAAATCTCAGAGAAAACACTTGAGATGAACTGGAGTATTTTTATCTTGCCATTTCTAAATCCAAACCCAAATATTAAGCTTATATGGCTAAGAACATGTGTGCTTTGGTAGTCCTACACACTGGCAAGAACTCACAAACTAGACTAGTGGATTAAATACTCATACGATTCAACCTTGCAATTCCCTAGCAGTCAGTAAAAGAAAAAAGTATACAGTCTAAATGAAACACAATTTAGGAAAGTGGATTTGTTCTGGACTGGTGCTCTGAAATCCCACTACAGTCAATAGACAATTTTTCCAAATTGAACCAAAGTGGCTGCTCAAAAATAAGAGACAGCAGCAGAAATGGGTTTTTCCAAAAGAAGTTTTCCCTACAGAAAATAACTGTGTTATTCCCAATTCAAAACAAATCATGGCACTTATAACAAGGTTCCTAGATGGCCTCCTGAAAGGTAGTATTTGCTGCATGGGCATAGTCCTGGCCATCTTAGCTTTTTCTTGCTAAGATGGTCTCCATAAATATTGCTTTGGCCATGTTCAAAAATGTCATGCAGGACATAAGACCAACTATGGTTCTAGGGATGATTAATCACATAGTAGCATCCTAGCCTCCGGGATACCATTGACTATTGAGTAACATAGAACTAGGGATAAAAATTCCTTTTTCATACTTCTTTCTCTTTCTCACAACCACCTGGTTCTTTGTAGGAATTGATCCCCCCAAAGACATCAAAATTAGCAATGTGACCAAGGATTCAGTGATGGTGTCCTGGAGCCCTCCTGTTGCATCTTTTGATTACTACAGAGTATCATATCGACCCACCCAAGGTAATCAAGTGATTGGAATTCTCAAAGATAAATGGGCCTTAGGGCTTGGTGGAGATTATTATGGGAAAACTGTCATAGTCCATAGGACATCAGCCTCTGCCTGCATTTTCTCCTCCATTCTGTGGCAGGATCCCTTAAATTAGGCAGGACTACATTTACCCAGAAAGTTGGCCCTTCGCTAGCAAAGACAGTAGGCACCATTATTTAGGTCATTCAGTAAGAAACTAAAAGCCCTAAGTGAGTTTGCTAAAAGTCATGCTATTTTACTGAGAAAGCCAAAGACTCAAACTCAATAGAGCTAAAGACTCTGCAGAGCCAGATGGAGCCTTGAAGAGGACACAGTAACATAGTCCTGTTTCTGCCAGTCCAGCACGCTATGAGTCAGAGACGTTGGCACAGAATTTGCCTGCATCCTGCCAGTTCCTGCTGGTGTATGTGGCATTGTTAAGAAAGTAGAAGGCAGGCTTAATTCAAGTCTGGGGAGAACAGCTTTCTGTAGTATCCTGTCTCTGGGCTGCATAGATGCCCTCTTTGCAGATGTGCCCTCTATGAACAGAACTGCTTCAGAGGCCAACTTCTTAGAAAACCACCTAATAAATACATCATTTCTCTCTGCTCTAAAAGCTCATAAAATGAAGGATGGAACCAACATAGCATGTAAGGTCTCTGCAAAACCCAACATTCACAGCCTGTGAAACACTTATCCCTCCTATCTGCGCTTTGGGTCTCATGCTCATCTATGCTTCACGACAAAGTGCCCCTTGTGGACTATGCCATGGATTATGCTGATGAGAAAGTTGCAAACACTAACCATGAACTGTGCTTTTCCTTAGTGGGACGGCTGGACAGCTCAGTGGTGCCCAACACTGTGACAGAATTCACCATCACCAGGCTGTACCCGGCTACTGAGTATGAAATAAGTCTCAACAGTGTTCGGGGCAGGGAGGAGAGTGAGCGCATCTGTACCCTCGTGCACACAGGTAGGCACAGCGCTCTGTGGTGTGCCAAATCAGGGCACCAGCTGAGGACCTACCACAAACAGAAGAGGCAGGGAGTGAAGTTGCTCTGGCTCACACAGAGGACACTTGATCCAGGATCAGGGTCTGCGGGTCTGTTCCCCAGACTCCTCCAACCCACTACCATGCAGGACACTTTGCAAAGTCTCTCTCTGCTGACAGTCCTGTCAAATAAAAGAAGCTTGGTGAGTTATCCCCAGAGGAGTCTTTCTGGTTTACATTAGGAACTTAAATGGAACTTCCAACATGAATAGTGCCCTTGCCAAGATACACGGTAGAAGTGAATTCCAGAACCAAAGAGAGTATCTTTTGTTTAAAAATACTCAGAGAAGGAAAGTTTGCCTCAATGAAAGAGTTGTTATTCGAGTAACATGAAAATTAGGGCCATGAGCCTGCCCACCATCTATGGCCAGAACCCACCAAGTAGGTGCATTTGCTCTTACTTTATGCTCCAGAAAGGAAGATGGCATCAAAGGCCATGACTCTCTTGCCTCTGCCAATGTGCAGGGAGACTGAGCAGCCCATGTCCTCTAGTGCTCTAATCAGATCCAGATGTCTTCTTCTTTCTCAATCAAAAGGAAGATAAAGGGTAACTATCTTGCAGCACAGGAATATGGGGAAAAAGTCCCTCTTGTGCAGCTTCCTCTGAAAAATAAGCCTCTCAGATGAGCCTACGGCCTGCTCTCCCTCAATAGCTCCCTACTCCTTCTCTGGCCCCTCCATCACTGCACCATGCAGAATTAGCAATGATTTGCCATTGATGTCATAGAAGACAAAGCCAAATTTCTTTCCTTAACCTCCAGATCCAACCTCCTAGTTCAGCCATTATTCCCACAGCAGATAGTAAACATCTGGCTTGCTTCATTAAGAGAACACCTGGATTTCCTGAGGCTGCTTATTTCCCTGGAGAAAAGTATTTCCCAAGTGAGGGTAAGGTGCCTTGGAATCCCCCACTGCTCTTAAAGATTTTCTCACATGCTTCAAATCAGCATCTCTCTTCTTTCTTTTTTTAAGAATGGCCAATTTCTTTCAGAAACAAAATTTTTCTGGAGACAGCACTGAATATTCTAATTTTTCCTAGTTTCCTTCCATGTGTATGAATACAGCTAACCCAGCCATGTTTTTAAATTCAACCTTGCCTTAACCCCCAAATTACTTAAGATCATTAATGTAGACCTGAAAAAAACATCCAATGAACCAAAAGAAGCCTTCTGGCCACCTTCCTGAAAATCTTAGAAAATTATGCTAAAGAAACCGGCTTTTTTTCTCACTGAAGAAAATAAAATGGATTTTAAAAGCCTTCTACTCCCAAGATGAAAAAGAGCAGCAACTCCACTCAATAGCTTACCCCTTGGTTTTGGGCCTGAAGTATTTTCAGAGCAGATGTTCAATGTTACACCAACCGCAACTGCCCTCCTTCAAGTAGAGCTATTTCAACAACCTCTAATATCTAGGTTGACCTTGGAAGTATCTTTGTTTGTTTGTTGTTTTTTAATGCAAAGTCTCTAGTCTCATAACTTTTAGAAATGAGAGTTCTGGGCCAGGGAGATAGCTCAGTAGAATAAGTGCTTCCCTGGCAAGCGCAAAGGCCTGAGTTCAAGCCCTGGTTCCACCAAAAAAAAAAAAAAAAAAACAGTAGAATAAGTGCTTCCCTGGCAAGCGCAAAGGCCTGAGTTCAAGCCCTGGTTCCACCAAAAAAAAAAAAAAAAAAATCAGAAATGAGAGTTCCTTCTAGTCTCTGATAAATCAAGTCAATTGTAGTTTAATAAGAGTTTCATTTGCAGAACTCTGAAAGTACAGATTCTGTGTTTTAGTACAGGGTCTACAGGGTCTTACAGGGTCTCACTACATAGATCAGACTCGTAGTGATCCGCCTGTGTTCAGCCTCCCAGGAGCTGGGATTACAGGCATGTGCCACCAGGCCCAGTCTCAATTGCCATCTCAGCGCACCCCTGAGGGCTGGTATGGCAGGCCAGGGATTGAATCTCTGGCCCCTGCCTCTGCCTAAGCAGACATGAAAGCACAGATTCTGGATAAAATTCAAACTTTAAAATTATGAAAATATTTTTTAGTTGTTGCTCTGTGATGAGGGACATAGATAAGCAAGAGCAACAACAAACCCTTCCATTAGAGAACAGGGGCAGATTGACAACAGACCTCGGTCCCAAGGTAAATCGTATAAACCTTAAATACCTGAGCTATTGCAATAACCTGAGCTATCACAACCGGAACTATTATACTCTCAACTTATAGCACAAGTAAGTAAGAGTAGGGAGATGGTCCCATGACAAGCAAATTCTGTTCCCCCAGTGGGCATTGTTGGCCTTCCCCAGCCTGTAAGAATCCCTTTGGCTCTAAATGCAAGAAAATGGACACCATGGACTCAGTCCAGAGGGAGCCTTATGAGTAGTGAAGCAAGAATTCAGTAATTGCATGACGTTGGAGGCAACCTGAATTCCATGTCGCCATTCCACAAGTCCTCACTGAATACCATCTGGGTTCTCAGCATGGGGGAGACCACTGTACTTCCTGAAGTTCATCAGTGAAGATTTTTCCACAAGGTACACTCAACCTTTATGAAAATGTAAATAGACTGGAAAGCATAGTTATCTCATTCACTAAAGAGTTAAAATATAAATTTCTATGTGTTCTTAGGTTCTCTACAGTTAAGTGTCAAAAACACAAAGATTACCTTGAAATCTCCCATAACACCTTCTCCAGTGCTCTGCAGGGAAGGGATTGATAAAGGAAGATCTGGTGACTGTTGAAGGAGAACTGGATACTTGAGAGAAAGGAGGAAAGGCAGTTGAGGAAGCTGATGGAGTCAGAGGGGAGAAAGAGGTCTCTACCCCATTGTACCCACTCTACCAGCAAAGCAGTAGATATGCATCATGGGTGAAATTTCTGATAGCTTATGAACTTTTACTCTGCAATTCCTCTCATCCTTAACTAATATTCTCCCACTCTCTTTCAGCCTTGGATAACCCTGTGGATCTGACTGCCACCAACATCACCCCAACAGAAGCCCTGCTGCAGTGGAAAGCTCCTGTGGGTGAAGTGGAGAACTATGTCATTGTTCTCACGCACTTCACAGGTGAGCATCTTCAGGCCTATGCACCAGGCAGGTGGAGGTGGTGGAAATGCGGCCAACATGTCAAGTTGGGCATGGCCGAGCCCTCTGCTGGGAGGTTGAAGCAGAAGGATCACAGTTTCAAGCCCAACTTTGGCAATTTAGTAATAATTGCTTCAAATTAAAAATTTAAGAAAGGTCTGTGGGTCTGGCTACATGTGAAAGTCCTAGGTTCAATTTTCAGTGCTGTCAAAAATAAGGCATTTTATCAATCTGAGGGACAAATTGGAAATTTCCCTGCTTCCCTACTTCAGTTACACTACAAAGCTCTCAAGATATCCTCCAGCTCTGCAAACTACCAACTATAGGGATTGCAAAAGCTAAATCTGAACAGTGTAAGAAAAGCGTGTAACCAAGGGACAGTACAAAAACAAAAATAGAAATAACACTAGAACTCATAACAGAGCAAAAACTTGCCCTAAAGTTCTAAAGAAAAGAAAGTAGAATTTTTTGATGTATACAGAGCAAGAAAAACATAGAAAGTTATAGGACCAAGCTTGTACTGACAATAAGTGATAAAAGGTGACAAAGGATTCAGAGCTACTAAGCTTTTCTGTAGTTTTTGTCTTCTCCACCCATTCCAGTCCAAAAGGCTGAACCAACATGAACTCTTGAATTTCAACATCATCTACATCATGCTTGTCCGCCTTGCAATATTTGAAGTTAAATAGAGAAGTTAAAAGCAAGATAGTGTTGCATACTCCTACTCTCTAGACTTAGAAAAACGATTTCCCTTCCTAAATTAAACATGTGATAACAAAATTGTTGCAGGTTATATTCAGGAATATAGAGAACAATGATACCCAAAAACAGAAGGCAGGCAGATGCCTTGACTTTTCCAAAAGTGGCAGAAAAAAAATGCAATTCTGTAAGTTGCAAAGAACTAAAATTATTGCAAAAGCATGGGAAAGTAAAAACTCAGACTATTGGAACTATAAAAATGTAAAAGACCTTAATGATTGCTACATATCAACTTGGGTTCACTAAGTTTAAGTTCCATCAAAACAGCTTTAGGTTCCTGGTTTTTATTGGCAAATCTGCTGGCACATGTGCATTTCAGCCAGGCATTAGAAAACTGCATATCATTTAGTCCTTAGCTAACAATAGAAAACACGTGATGGATCATATTGGGAGTTAGCTAGAACTGTAGGTGATTGAGTGACTCTCATCAAAGGAAGGACATCACTCTGTGGGTATATCCAGGCCTCTCTATACTTATGTACAACTAACCCCAACTCCCTCCACCCTGCTATGCATGTCATAATCTGGTATTCTTCACTCTCACCATGAATTCTCAAGCATTTGCTCATGTTGTTTCTTCCACCAAGAAATTATCTCCCTGTAAATCCACCTAGAAAACCCACCCTTCAAATCTTAGCTGCAGCACTATCTTCTCTGTCAAAGCTTCCTTGGGTCTCCTAAGGCTGTAAGACCCAGGTATAAAGCACAGTTGCACCCTAGAAATTCACTTCTAGACTGGCCTGATAGCTCAGTGGACTAAAAAGCACCTGCTTAGGCAGAGCGCAGTGTCCAGGGTTCTATCCCCAGCATGCCCTGCTGGCCCCACCCCAGGACGCACTGAGACAGCGATTGAGACTGGGTGTGGTGGCACATGCCTATAATCCCAGCGCTTGGGAGGCTTAAAACAAGAGGATCACTACAAGTTTGATCTATGTAGTGAGACCCTATAGACCCTGTAGACCCTGTCCTAAATATAGATGAAAAAAGAAAGAAAGAAAGAATGAAAGAAATTCACTCCCATTCATTCAGCAACTACTTTTGGTGCCAGCCAATAGCTCAATGGATTAAAGCACCTGCAAGCAGGCTCAGGGGCCAGGGGTTCAATCCCCAGGTCTGCTGTGCCTGCCCTGCCCCTGGGGTGCACTGAGATAGGGATTGAGACTCAGAATGGTGATGTGTGCCTGTAATCCCAGCACTTGGGAGGCCATAAACAGGAGAATCACTATGAATCCGATCTAGTAGTGAGACCCTGAACACCCTGTAGACCCTTCCCTAAAAAATACAGAAAAAAATACTTTTGATTCTCTCCAATGGAAAATATACTTGATAAGGTTATAGAGATTCAGAACCAAAGCATGAAGTCTTATTTTTGTGAAACAAATGTCTAGTGGTGATGCAGAGAAGTAGGAAGTAGTTACAATGTGTACAGCATCAATATATAGGCAACATGGAACATGGTGGACTACATCTGGTGATATCATTTAGGGTAAGTGTTAAAAGAATGACAGGAGAAAGAAGGTAAAGTCAAAGAAATCAAAGAGGAAGAAAGAGATAATTCTAAAAAGAAGAACAGCCTGTCTGCACTCTCAGGGGTGCAAGCGAGCATGTGGAGTCTGAGAATCTGCCATTGTGTGGAATGGCGGAAGCAGTGACTGATGGCAGGGCCTCTGAGGGGGCAATATAAAGGCAGTCAATGTGCATGTTCCTCCAAAGAGCTAGTTTGTATTTTAACTTGTTTATGCTTTTTTATATGTTTAGGCCACAATTAACTTGAAACTTCCGGCCCTGTGTAGTTTGAAGATGTGGTTAGTAAACTTGGTTAAATGCTAAACGATTTTGGAATATTCTAACTGCTCCCAAAGAGGAGTTGGCCCTGATGTGATGATCAGTTTTATCAACAGCTCAAATGAATTCAGAGAAGACATGCTTACTAAATTTGTGTATAAAATAAAACTGGGGTTAACACAATCTGAATTCCAAAATACTATAATAATCTAAAACAGCATCCCAACTCAATCAGAGGGGCAAAAAACAATAGATATAAATGCAAATATCTGCCCATGGGTCTAAAAAATCAACTACAAAAGATGGGATGGGGTGGCAACAAACAAGTTCTTTGATTAGTATTTATCTCAAAATGTGATAGCAATAGCAAATAGTTGCCCTAAAGCTTAACAAATTAAAAAAAAAAAAAAAAACAGAAGTAGAAGCAGAGACTGACCATTTGTTTGACTGGCCAGTGCAACTCAAGTATTATTCTCAATTTTCCTCCAAGTTTTGTTTTTCAGCAGGGACACTTAACCGTGTCCCAGTTACTTGTTCAAACAAAATCAACCAGGACTGTGAAGGTTAAAACCTTCACAGTTTAGAACTGTAACACAAACCTAATAAGAGGTGAGGACTGAATTTTCTTAGTATGAAGAAGATAGCACTTAATTAGGAAGAGTTGTAGAAAGAAACAACTCATATAGACCAAATATTTGGCTTATTCTTTATAACTATAGAGACCTGAGTAGGAGGGAGGAAACTTGGCCTCTACATAATAAATATGTTTTTCATGATATAAAAAGATGAGGGGAGATTGTCGTAGGTATAACATGCTAAGCTCTATAACCTATAGAAGTTATTCCAAAATTCTACAGCATCTAACATTTGTGAGGTCCCTTTAGATTTGATAGCTATGTGCCAAGTTGCATAGGCTTATTCAATCATTATCCATATACATCTGACTTCAGTTACTGGAGAAACCATCTTGGTTGATGGACTCAGTGAGGAATTCCAGCTTGTGGACCTGCTTCCCAGCACCCACTACACGGTCACCATGTATGCCACCAGTGGATCTCTCATCAGTGGCACCATCAGCACAAACTTCTCTACCCGTGAGTATAGGGTCCTCTGCAGGCGCAATGTACCCAGAGAATTTTATGGATCCTAAAAATGACCAGTGTTTGTGTGGTCACAAGGTCATAGTTTATAGGTTTGGGGCAGCATGGCTTTAAGCTCATCTCATTTTGGCCAGCTGTGTCCCAAATCCAGTGAAAGTGAGCTTCAGCTCTCAGCCCGTAGACATATGTCTCTTTTTCTGTTGTCCCTGGGTTCTATGTGACAGTGGTATACCAAGAGAGCCCAACACTAAACATGCCCAGAAAAGTTTGATGGATAAAAAGCTGGATGTTGGGGAAAGCGATACTGAGTCAGATCATGAGCAGGAACATAGACAGCAGTAAGATGTGGAGTGTTTTAAGTTCAAACAGGAACTTGCAGACACTGTGGCTGAGCAGGGTCAGGGTCCCAAGAATAGAAGCTGAGAAAGGAAGATGTCATGCCCTGACCCTGAGCATTAGACAGGGAAGTGGGGGAAATAATGATCATGACTCTGATCACCTTCTGACAGGAGAGCCCATGTTGTCCCTATCCAAGTTAGAATGGGGTCATTATGGAGTACCCCTTGACCACAAAGGTGGGCAAGGAGCCCAGTGGGTCTGAAATCCAGTAGGAAGGCCTTGGAGAGACAGGCTTGCCCTGGCCTTTTCTCTCCTTTGCAGTTCTGGACCCTCCTGCAAACCTGACTGCCAGTGAAGTCACCAGACAGAGTGCGCTGATCTCTTGGCAGCCTCCGAGGGCAGAGATTGAGAATTACATTCTGACCTACAAATCTACTGATGGAAGCCGCAAAGTAAGAATTTGCTAGAAAGGGGCCTGCCAGTTCTCCCTTGCAAAGGCAAGGAAACTGACAGAGGAGGGACAGTGGAAACTGGAGGGAGGGGGAAGGAAGTCATTCACAGGAAAAAAAACCTGGATACATAAGCTACTGTTGAGGAGAGAGCCCAAGTCTGTAAGCTGCAACCCCTAGGTACCCATGGCCCTTGGCTCTTCACAAATTGAGGCACAGTACTGGTCTTTTCCAAGCCTTGCTGCCTTCTCCAGGCTCTGGTCTACTCTAACTTCTCTAAGTATATTGATGTTTCCGATGTTATGATACAAACCCCTGAAAACTTCTGCTTCATGGTATTGGGATGATTTTTCTAACAGCCCAAGCAAACGTGAGGTAGGTACCAAATTCAAATGGATTTTATACCTCAACAAGCATTACAAGAGCAACATCTATATAGGCTACAGTAAAAAAAAGAAAATTTTTATTTTTATATCATTAGTCAACACAATCCACTAGAGCGCTGGAGTTCAAATTTTTTGTTTGCAGTGGGATTCTTTTTAAGAAATTACATGCAAAATCCAAATATACAGAAAAGATTAAGGCAGAGCTAGTCTTTTGGATAGAACTAGAAGGGCCTAGTTGATCCTACTTCCTTTGCTTCTTTCTATGTTCTTAAGCAAGCCCAGTGCAATCTAAAAGTCACTGGAGTCAATATTCCAGAGGCCTAAATCTCAGTGTACATTTGTGAGCAAAAAGTTGGCCTAAATCTCACATGAGCGACATCCTTTCTGCTGAGCAGCACAGTTTTCTTCTTACTGTAGGATGCTGAGGACAGCAATGGCCACTGACCTAATTAGCCATAGAATTCAAGCTTCTCTTCCCTACTTTCCCATTCCAAAAGCCAGGTGCTCCCATCTACCTCCCTTCTTCTGGCTCTGTGCAGGAGCTGATTGTGGATGCAGAGGACAACTGGATCCGACTGGAAGGTCTGTTGGAAAACACAGACTACACAGTGCTCCTGCAGGCGGCTCAAGATGCCATGAAGAGCAGCCTCACTTCCACCGCCTTCACAACAGGTGAGGCAATTACAGCCCTTTGATGGCTTCTCCCTGCATGAGAGCTGGCTCCTCAGCAGCCTCTACTGAGCTTGGACTTGGGAACTTATCCAAAACACTCCTCCTTCCTTTCCCTTTCAAAGGTGCTTGAGAACCTCCTCACACCACCAAGGTAATTACTAGAGCCAGGGACCCAAATCCCCAATCCTCCTGGACCAACCGAAGCAACAAGTAAAGACACCTTGTTCCATTTTCCTGTCTGTTCTTCCAGAAAAGTTTTTCCATCTCTTCTTCCTTGGCCACTCTTATTCAGAGACTCATAGCAGTAATGAACTCTCAGTATTAAATGCACATCCATTTTCCATACACAAAGCATTGTTGCATCCCTTTGGTCCAAGGTCAGTCCTTAACACAACTGACAAGGAAGGACTTTGGTCTTCATTTGCCACCTAATGAAACCAAAGTGAATGGAAGTCAAAAACTTGCAGTACTAGCAAGTGTCTGGGTCAGAATTTGAATGAACAATTTTTTACTTTTGCATTTAGCTATCTGTCCCTCCAGCCTTACCCCTTTAAGTCAGTGGAAGATGTTTTGAAAATACTCTTAAGGGATCTAAGCATTGTATCTATAACAGAAAACAACTTTATATTTATCCTTTGGTATCATTTGCCAGGAATTTTCCTAAATGCATGACATCTATGATCTAATTTAATCTTCACAATGACCTATATAGTATGGACTATTATCTCTGTTTTAAAGATGAGGAAATTAGCCCACAGACATGTGAGGCAACTCACCCAGTATCCCACAGTTCTTAGGTGGCAGAGCTGGAATTTGACTCAAGCTGTTCTAGCTCTGGGGTGTGTGTTCTTTATATTCCAGTCTGCCACCTTCCCTGGTGCCCTTCATATGGTTTGTAATGTGGGACCTGCCCACCCAGACTGAATTCTCTCATTGCCTCATACTCTGGGGTGTGAGTGCGACTGTCTGTGGGGCAAACGTGAGCCTTTCTGTGCCCTAAGCTGCGTGTCTGCCTGCTGTGTCTAAGTATTAGGACGATGAGATTCCTATCCATGCCCCAGAGGTTGGAGGGTGACAGGAAGTCTCACCACTCCACTCAGACGCCTTCCTCGTGATGTGCTCATCCTAACCCCCAGATGAAGGCACAGATCGGATGCTCCACATGACGCCAGGGGCTTCTGTAGGGCAGGGAGCTTATGACTGGGCTCTGTTTTCCTTTTTATACCTTTCCATACTTCACAAAGTTCTTTGTTTGTATGCACTAATCAGGAAAACAAACATTTTATTTAATTAAAAAATGAAAATAAGCTGTGATCATACAACCAAGACATTAACCCAACATGCATTTTTACCAAGTGGAATTTAGAGGATTGTTGATCTCTTTTCCAGGGCTGAAGTCAATTACTTTCACCTCTATGCTGTATCAAAGGTGTCTTATCTAAGTATAAAGGTGTTACTGTCCTTGTTTAAGCCCTTCCCTGTACATCTACAGGTTAACTAAAGGGTCTCTCATGGTCTCCTTTCCCAAACTAGCACTTAAAGACCTATGGGTTGAAGTTTTCCACTGAATTAGGGATTTCTTTCCCATAAAAAGAACACAGATAACAGGTACTTATAATTTCACCCCCAATGCATGGGTTTCAGTGCTTGCTTAGGGCAGTGTTAGCTTTTCATCCCATCCTGGAGATGCCACAGGGAGCGTGATGAGCAGAGAGATAACCTGCACAAGGTCTGTGATATCCTGCGGCTGTTCCCCAGCCACCACACCTGGAAAGGAGGTTCAGTAGCGAGGATGTGGGATTACAGATCCAGATGGATCCAGATCCAGTGGGGTCAAATAAACCAAGGAATAGCAACACTCATGGAAATCTGAAGAGGAGGCCGGGGTAGTGGCTTTGACTGATGGACAGTGCAAGGGACTTGCAAGATGTATTTAGGCCACTGGTTTCTTCATTTAAGATTCCAGTTGCCCCTTGGCTCCTGGAGCCTCAGCTCAAAAAGGAGAAAACTGAAGGGCTGAACTTCCTATGCAGTAAATATATTTACTAACTGAGCTGCTTTTTCTGCCTACAGTTTGGGGGGGGGCAGAGAGAATCACCACCACTTCCTGGTACATAGCAAGGGGTCTCCATGTTTGGAAGTTTTTTCAGTGTTGCTAGAAAATACAAATTTAAATGCAAGTCATGGATACATACAAATCCTGCTGGATTTTTCTTGAAGATTTACCAGAACCCACCAAAACAATCAGTTGCAGAATAAAAAATTTAGGGGCAGAAATAAGGCGTGTAAAAGTCCTTTGCACAGAGCCTGACATAGAACAGACATAGCAAACCCTGGCTGAACTTAAGAGTTTCACCAGGCAGAAGAGAAGGTCTCTAGTGAAGCAAAACTGACAGACGGGGGAAATTTCCTCTAATCCTTGAAGAGGTGGCAGAGACAAGGATGTACAGCCTAGAGAGTATGATATCACAGTCCCTCTGATTTCAGGTTCTGCCTGCTACCCTGATGCAAATTTTTCTGAATAAATTATACTAGGGTACATAGTCATCTACATGTTAATACTAATAAGTGTTCATTGCCAGTAGCCAATCCTTTCCCACTACCTTTTCTACTCCTGCCAAGAGCAAATGCTACTAAGGAGGGAAACAATACAAGGGTATCAGTTTCCTAAAGGTGGGGGTGAGGATGTTAACAAAGGAGAAGCAGCAGGAATGAAAGCAGAAGGTCTTCACTTACACACAAGGTCTGGAGCCCCACCCCTCCCCGAGGATGACTTACTTCTGCTGTGCCAGTGTGGGGAACACTGGAGGCTCTGCGATGACAGACCAGGGAGGATAGGTGTAGAGGATTATTTCCTTTCAGCCACTAACATCCCTTCTGTCTTCACTGTCAGTACCTGACTTTTCCACTTAGCAGCATCCTGTTCTTAGGATGTGTTGCTCCCCGCTGAATCTTCCGAGTGTTTTCTACACCTTCTGCGATGCAATAACAGAGCTTAAAGTTTGGCCCCAAACTGACCTGCATCCACTGACAACCCCTAAGATGCCTATCTAATGGTCTGGAACAAAGTTAAAATGTCAAAAAAATAATAATAATAAATATTGTAAAAGAACAAGAAAAGATCTGGCCTCAAAACCTCGAATCCCTCCTTTGATCAAGATGTCTTCTTGCTGGGTTCCCACCACATAACATCAGACCATTTCATTCTTTCCATCATGTTAATAGCTTCCTGTCCTCTTGTCTCTGGTGTTTGCACAAGACTCTGGGGGGAATTAAATACAACTAGTATGAAAGAGAAAAAAGTATGGATACATTATTTATCACTTACTGTCGCTTGAAATTTCATCCAAGGTCTACTTGTCTTTTAGAGACATGAATATAAATGAGGAAACAAATATTCCCTGCAGAGCAACACAGGCTTGGTGAAATGATCTTCTGAGAGGCAATTTTCATTGTCTCTTTTAATACTATAAAAAGCAAACAAGTCTCTCGCTAAAGCTCATCCTCAGAGACAGCGAACACTATAAAATAGGTTGTCGTGACCTTGAGGTTAAACGAGACCATCCTTTGCAGAGGTACCCAGACATGGGTAATGGGAAGTTTTCTTTTATTACCTTTGCTGTACTCTCTGTGACTGCACATCCAGGCTGAGCTGCTTTGTGCTTTTCAGGCTCATTCCAGAGTCTCCTCTAACATAGGAATCGGTTTTTGAGGTAGGGAAAATTAATGAAGATTGACAAAGTCTAGATTTGGAAAAATAGATGGTAGACTGTGAAAATTCAGTTATCAGACACCTGATCAGAAGAGAAATCCTGGTGATCACTGTCCAACTTCTATTGACTCGTATGTGTACCACATGTCCCCACCACCACCAAAGAGGGAGCTGAGAGGGCTTCTCTGCTTCGTGGCTTAGATGCAGCTTGAGTTCTTGTTCCATTAAGACAAGTAAATGACAGACAGACAGAGGGAGACAGGGAGAGAGAGAGAGAGAGAGAGAGAGAGAGAGAGAGAGAGAGAGAGAGAGAGAAATTCACACATATGTTCAAAATGCATAGATAAGTGGTTGTCAAACCAAAGCTTTGAATTAATCATACTACCCAGCTTATCACATATTATTGATATCAGTCTCCAAACTACTTAATTCCCTTTTCCCCATCTCGTCTTACCCCCTCCATTTGTACCACTCTAATGTGTCCACTGGGTAGCCTTTCCATGTGGGAAACTCTGTCCTTGTAAAATTATTTTGACTATATTCAAATATATATTTGAATCTATAAACATTTCAAATGTATGGCAATGGTATCCATACATTCCATAATGTATCCCCTGTTCTCATATACTTTACTCAGCACTCTTTTCTAGACCATCTGTGTTGTTTTGCACATCTATAGTCTTTTGCTTCCAACTGTTGTGAAACACTGCACTGTGTATCCCCATCACATCTTAGCTTCCCATTCTGCTAAAGATGGACACTAGGTTGTCTCCAACATTCCACCCGCCCCAAATGGTACCACAATAAATACCTTGTACTTATGGGTCAGTACAATGCCTTTGACTTATACGCCTAGAGGAGGAATTGCTGGTCATAGCGTGTTTATATAATTTAACTAAGTGCCATTCCCTACCTATACACTGGCTGCAACAGTGCATTTTCTAATGGCATATGACACATTTTTAATGACTTAACATGGTCCAAAACTGTAACTTCTGACAGTCTTATGGATATAATTGCTATTTCATTGTTCTAGTTGAATTCCTTTATATGAATATATGAGTTTGAGCATCTCTTCATATGTTTGTTAGCCTTTGAGATTCCTTTCTCTGTACATGACCTATCATATAGTTTGTTCTTTCTTTCTTTCTTTTTTCTTTTCTTTTTTATCTTTTGAGACAGGATGTCACTATGTAATTCAGTCTGGCCTTAAACTCACTGTGTAGCCTAGGTTGGCCTTCAACTTTTGGTGATCCTCTGCTTCAGCCTCCCAAGTGCTGGGATTAGA